TATAAATCTTGTGCCAATTATTTGGACATATCTCTAACAATTTCTGGACCATTGTATTTACTCCCATACTTATCGGCTTTGTACCCAGGTAAACCAGGGCGGGACCCGAACAATTTGAGAACATGTATGCTATTATCCACTTTTAACATCAATACTTTTAAATTATATTTTAATGTCAGTACTTTTTAACATATTGTAAAAAGTAATGTGTATTGCTGGTCTTTGACCGTAATAAAGATTTATACTATACTACAACAAGTAGTCTTTAATGATACTACATCTACATGGGGGAAAGTAAGTGATGGGGTGCCACAAGGTCTTAGCCTCAATACTCTTCAATATCTTCATAAATGATTTAGATGAGGGAATAGAAGGGGCTCTCATCAAATTTGCAGATGACACTAAATTGGCAGGAATAGCCAACACCCCAGAAGACAAGCTCAGGATCTGAAAAGATCTTAACAGATTTCAACAATGAGCCCTATCAATTAAATGAAATTTAATGTGAAGAAAAGCATTACATTTAGGCAGGATAAATCAAAGATACAAGTACAGATTAAGTGAAACTTGGCTCAAAAATATTAACCTAGGAGTCCTAGTGGACAATCACTTAAACATGAATTAGCAATATGCAACAGCAGCCAAAAAAGCTAATACAATCCTTGGTTGTATAAACAAAGGTATAGAATCACATGAAGTATTTGTACTGATTTATTAATACTGATTAGTATTGATTTATAAAGCCTTTGTAAGGCCACAACTAGAATATCGCATCCAGTTTTGATCACCACATTACAAAAAAGGTGTTGAGAGTTTGGAAAAAGTGCAAAGAAAAGTAACTAAGAGGGTTAAATGCCTGGATACTAAAATACAAAAAATTATTGCAGGATTTGGCTTTGACTATTCTAGAAAAAAGGACTGGGGTGGACATGATAGCATTATTTTAGTATCTGAGAAGTTGTCACAAAGAGGAGAGGGTACACTTATTTCCCAAAGCACCAGAGGCAAGACAAGAAACAATGGATGTAAACTACTCAAGAAGAGAAGCAACTTGGAACTAAGGAGAAACTTCCTAACAGTCAGGACAATTAACTATTGGAACAGCTTGGCGTCAGAAGTGCTTCATCGCTGGAGACTTTTAAGAAGAGAGAGGAAAATAACTTGCCTGAAATTATATAGGATCTCCTGCTTGAGCAGGGAGTTGGACTAGAAGACCTCTAAAGTCTCTTCCACCTCTGTTCTGAGTGACATAATGCATCTGCTGTGGCATCCTTTCCTGAACAAAACATGGCAAAAATTCATCCTTCTCAGATAATGTGAAGGTTTTGATAGGTATTTGGCACTTTTGACAGTTATTTGACACTTTGACAGCTATTACTTAAATTTTGTGCAAGGAAAGATTTTTAATGATAAAACTCTCTTGGCTGACAGATTAGCTATGCTGCCACACCAATAAAATTAATATGGTTACTGGAAAGAACTCAATCTCTGTGTAGACAGGACACCAATAATTGATGAGAAGACATGATAATTGGATTACTACTAAATGCTTATAATCCATATAACTTACCTGAGGAATCTTATAGATGCTAAAAATATTTGGTATTTGATAGGAAGATTCAATGTCAAGTCCTTCAATAATTGCAAGAAGATTGTCTTTACGATCACAATGGTAATTGGGAAGAAATTGCTCTTTTGGAGAAATAAGTTGCATTGCAGAACCAAAGGCCCACCTGGTATTGATATGGCTATCATAGATATGGAATCCGAAGGTCAAGTTGGGTAAGATTTGGGGATCTTCATTGATTTCCCTTATGGCAAAGACCAAGGCCAAGATATGCTGGTAGTTCTGAGTCATAACCCTACAGTGGGATTTTCATTATGTGTCAGACTAATTTATTGGAAAAAATAAGCCACAGTTTAAGAGGCATACTTGGTACAAAAACTTGACCAATTACCCCAAAAGACAATCTATAGATTAGAGAAAGGCAGAGGTATATCCTTTTATATAGTGTCAAACAAAATTAAATAAAATCTATGTGTAATTTCTGGAGTTGATTTACAATATATTTTACCTCTACATTTTATGTCTGTATATATTTTGTGTACAGACATTATCAGATTTAAAATCATTATATAGTTGTGATTCCTCTAGAGGAACAATTTTAGAATTAATTTTTTGGAAGAAATATGGTGATCTGCCATGAAGCAAGAATTAAAAGAAACAATATAAATGAATAAGAATGTATTTCCTATTAGAAAGTTAAACATTGTAATTGCAATTTTTAACAAAGAAAATCTTGAATTAAGAATTGCTAGAAACACTATAAATGAATAAAAATAAGAAAAACTTGAATTAAGAAATTTTTAGTCTAAATGGATGAAAATGTATTTGCTAGGAGAGTTAAATATATAATTATTGCTTTTTATGTACTTATTTGGCTAAATATAGACATCTTAATTAAATTGATATATTTTGGTTTCATTAAAATTATTTTAAATACTAGTATTTCATTAATATTTCCTTAGAGAAATGAAGGAGCAAAAATTCATTTCCAGTCTGCCCTTTATTTCTCAGAAACAATCTACTTCATTCCTTCATTTCATTAATCACACCATAAATTTGGTCCGCTACATATAATCTATACAGAATTACACGGAGGTCAAGCTCAATTCCTTACAGATATTTTTGAAAGTACATTGGAGGTGGTACTACATCAAAAAGATTTGGTCTGGAGACAAAGAGAGTGTGACAAACAAGGCCACCAAAGAGTAGATCCCCTGGCTGAAGGTACTTGTGAAAAATGTGATGGTGATCTACAATTCGGCACTTTACATGTCTCTGGCCTGTCATATGGGGCAGCAACAGAAAGAGGAATGCTGCTACTATCAACATATTAAGTACAAGCTGACCCTCTGAACTAAAGCACCAATGCATTTACAGCTCCATCTGTCATAACAATAGCTAGATATCCATGAAAAGTGAAATATAATGACTAAATCCCAAAGAGTATATGCTTGGAACAATATGGCTAAAATTTGTAAATTTTAGCCCTGACTTTATATACATACAATATGTGCATACAAACACACATTCATATAAACAAAGATACACTTAAACAGGAATACATGACCGTGCTTGCAACAGTTTTCCCCCCATAAAAACAAGAGGGAAATAGGAAAGCAATATAAATAATTATAGTTGTTTGATAGTTAGCTAGAATTTGTGAATCCTCTATAGCATTGGTAAGAACTAAGTGTGTTATATTTACCCTGAAAACCTATTGTATTCATTCTGTTCTGTAAATAAAAATAAAAATGTTTTTAGAAACACATTATTTCTAATAAAATGCATCACTCCAAAGAATGCTTTTTATTTCCTTCTTGGAACCAAATTAAAATATAAAGACACATAGAAAAATGCAAATTTTCATGTCAGAAGTTACTAAAGTATCTAGATGATGCACATAATGTCTATGGGAAAAGTCTACTTTGGGGAGAACCATTGCTCCATTTTCTTTCATCAGCATTTTCAGATCTCCTCCTCCTGGTGTGCTTTTTGTGGGGAGGGATCTATTATCATGGCCAAAAATCTACCTGGACTGAAATCCTCTGACAATAGGCTGGAAGAGATTCAGGCTGGATAGAGAACTACCATATCCTTCCATGTGATGATTCTATGGACAACTCTAAAATAATTTAAATCTCTATACTTGGAGTTCATCAAAAAGTATATCTCACATTTATTTCTGGCAAGGTTTTATAGATGTGGAGGTGATTCCGTCACCTTATTGACATGATCAAATTATATTATGACCCAGAGGTTAATGATAGCAAACTTTTATTTAAAACAAGTTTTATTTTTTTGAAAAAAATTAACAACACAGAGAGTATATAAAATGGTTTTTAAAAACAGTGATGAGTAATTCATGAATGTTAATGTTACCATTTACTTAGTATTCCTTCTATAAGCCAGTCATATTGAAGTAAGAACAATCCTCAGATAATATGGACCTATGAGATGAAGAACTTTAAAGGTGATCACCAACAGCTTGAATTGCAGTGAGAATCAGACCAGCAACCAATCCAGCTCACAGAACAACAATGTTATATGGGGCACTCTAGGGGCCCCTGCACTCTGCACAAATTGTAGCTTCCAAATTCTCTTCAACGGTAGCCCCACATAGAGCAGTAATTTAATTCCTGTAAATTTTACTGCAATTCAATTCATTTCTTGAAATATACTCCTGGTACATAGCAGGACATCATTAGCCTACTTTCCAAATTTTGAATGAATCTTTGTTTTGTTTGTTTAACATTAAAGTTAATATTTATAAACTCTTAAACATGCACAGTCAGGGAGACAATATATTGAATATTGCCACATAAGAAATCTTATCTACAAATCCTGGCAGTAGGGACAGCAACCATTTTTATAGGTGGAAATAGATGATGTCATCCTCTTGTTATGTGACAGATCATTGAACAAAGACTAATAAGGAAGGAACTTTGCTTGAGTTGGAGACCTTATACCCATTACGGCGAACCACAGGTAGCACACAGAGCTCTCTCTGTGTACACGTGAGCCGTCGTCCCAGCTTAGCTTCATCATGCATATGTGCGGGCCTCCCACTGGCCAACTGATTTTTGGGCCTCTGCCATGCATGCATTGGAGGAGAAGGGCACATGTGGAAGATGCACAGGATGCAGGTGGGAGATGCGCATGGGGTTTGGCGCATCTCCCCACAGCCCATTTCTGTTCCCAGGAGGTTGCAGAAAGGTCTACTTGGCCAAAAATGGGGCATGGGTGGGTCACATGCACATGTATGGTGGGAAGAGGGAGTACAGGGGGGTCATGAACGCATGTGCAGGGGGATGGGGCACAGGGGAGGTGTCATGCACACATTGTATTATGGGTACGGGTGCATGGACACACTGTCACGTACATGCCTTTCTGCACAAAATGACAAAAAGGTTAACCATCACTACCATATATCATTTCGGACTAGCAGCTGTCCAGTCTCTTCTTAAAAACCTACAGTTATAAAGTATCCACAACTTCCAAAGGCAAGCCATTCCACTAGTCAATTGTTCTCACTCTTTAGTTTTAGGTTGCTTAGCATGGAAATGGTTAGTCTCCATCCATTGTTTCTTGTCTTATATTTTGCTGCTTTGGAAAATAGTTTGATCCCCTCATCTATGTAGGAGCCACTCAGATATTGGAACACTGCTATCATGTCCTTCTTTTCATTAGATAAGGAATATCCAGTTCCTACAACCATTCTTCAGATATTTTAGCCTCCAGCCTCCTAAGCATTCTTATTGCTATTCCCTGCATTCTTTCTAGAGTCTCAACATCTTTTTAATATTGTGCTCACTAGAAGTGTATGCAGTATTCCATGTGTGATCGTGCTAAGGCTTGGTAAAGCAATATTAGATCTATGGCATCCTGGCATATCTATCAATTCAGCCTCCAAAGTACTTTTTTCCTGCTTGGGCAAGTCATTGTTTTGCTTTTATTTTGCTGTTTATTTTTCCTTCTGGGCTTCACTTTCTTCTAGGACAAGGCCCACACGATGGCTTCTTTGATGAGGCACTGTGGCCCCTCACCTTATTTCCTAAGCTTTCCATGAATGCATTCTCCTGCAGCTTACTGTTGTTTTCCTTTTAGTTCTTATTGAAAAAATATCAATATCATGCAAACATTGGGCAGAATATCACTTCTCAGAATCAGCCAGGAAGATTTGGATGCTTTAGTTAAGGCTACTAGAACATATACATTTAAAAATGTGGAAATTGGTTAACTTGGGAGAAGAAAAATAGTTTCTTCCAAGATTCAAGGAATTTTGAACTGGGTACATTCTGAATGTGAGCCCAGTGTTATAACCATTATATGATTGGGGAAAAAAGTGTTCTGCAATTGTATCTTCAGCTTTTTCTTCGGAAACACTTGTGGAAATACAGGAACAGGTTTCAGGTTTTTTTTAATTGTAACTGCGTTTTTGTACTTTATTTCTTTACTTATTTATATGTTGCATATAATTAACAAGACAACAAAAGGAAAGGAACAAAACAAAATGATAATAATGACAGAAATAAATACATTGTCAAAGACAAGAGAAAGTGAAATACCTAAAAATTCCTTTAACCAACAAGTGAAAGAACAAGTGAATATTATTCAAGTACTTTTTTTTTCTAATTTATTTATATAAGTATCTTGTTTTTTGGAGGGTTTTTTTTAACATAATGTATTTGAATCCCATATTTTATTATGTTTTCCATACAAAGGCTATGTCTATAGATAATCTATTCATAAATAGCAAGAGCAGAGAGGTCTGTAATCTATTAAGTAAGTGTGGCTATGCATTTATGTTTCCAGTATTGAAATATCAGTACATTGGCCATAATAAGGGAACAGATAATAGATTTATATCATCCAGGCATTAAATTTCATGTATTAGGTATATATTTATGTACATTTTAGCTTTTGTCACACAATCACGTTTACATAATCTTTACATATTTAGACATTCTCCGAATTTAATTTTTTAAAAGCTGATGGTTTGTACCCACATAAACTTTAGCATTGCATGTATGAATTTAGTTTCACTTTGTATTGTATAATTATATATGTGTGTGCCTATATTGACATAGAAATCTATATATGCCCTGAAAGACCTCAGGAAGGAAAGCAAGTAGTATATTTTGGAACAGAAACTTAGGAAGGTATAACAGATAATGAATTTTCAAATGAGATGACATGGTAAACTGAAGCATAAATCCAATATATTAAAAAGTGCTACCAAATATATCAGTCTAACCAGACCATCTTCTTTAAGAAAAATTCAGCATAATTAG